ATTTAAATACTAATATTTAAGGTTCTACCCTGACATACATGTACATAAAAAGTGCCAAAAAAGCGAATAAAACAAAATAAACAAGTGCTGCTATAGCACCTCTTACTGGCAGACTAAAGATGTCTCATTAGCGCACCTGATTTTCCCTTTAGAGACTCTAATGAATATTAACACTGAAAACTGCGATGTCCCCTTGTGCTTCAGCCTGCAGAAGAACGGCAAGTGGGATGGCTCTGACAGTTTTATTAAAGTATTCATCTCACCCTCTCCTGTTAAATAAATGTCCCTTGCAATTTATCATAAGGGTATTGATGAAGTAGAGTGTGGGTTTTATCAAAGCAGTAATTGTTCACAGTGATGCTCATTGTCTGTGAGTGGATCTCTAAGAGGAATTACACATTATTAATGCTTTCTAATATACAGGAACATTCATCAGCATAATGTGTCACGATCAAATAGGTGGCCCATCAAGCAATACAAAACAGCAAGCACTCTGTCGCGCTAGCAGCAATCCGGTTATGTTTGAAAAGGTGCCCGTACTCGCTTTCAACTGCCAAAATAATGTCTAATCTTCCTGCCGTACAAACACAAAATTTTACTGATTGTTTTAGCAGTCTAATATAACGGTTAGATTGATGGGCGTTCCTTCCTCTTCTCTGTAGTGTATTCACATAAAAAATTATATTTTGCATAAAGAAAGTGAAGCCTAATTTTAGGCCCATTTAAGATTTTTCATTTTGTGGCATTTTTATGACAACTACACAAATTTCCCTCTCAAATTCTCTTTAACTTTGCAATAACTTTGAGTTTAATTCAAATTAAAGATATTTTGCTTTACATGTTTATTACAGTGATTTTGTATTTTATCAAGTAATAATAATAATAATATTTATTATTATTATTCATTATCCACATTTTAAAACTTGCATTAACTTTAAGTTTTTTTTTATTAGATTTGAACTTTTATAAGATAATTTGTTTTACATTTTCATTATTTTAATACAGTAATTTTGTACTTTATTACAGTAAAATAATAATAATTATTATTATTTTA